ATGAGATGTTGATACATTCTTACCTGTTGATGTCTTATGGGAGATGTTGATACATTCTTACCTGTTGATGTCTTATGGGTGATATTGATACATTCTTACCTGTTGATGTCTTATGGGAGATGATACATTCTTACCTGTTGATGTCTTATAGGAGATATTGATACATTCTTACCTGTTGATGTCTTATGGAGATATTGATACATTCTTACCTGTTGATGTCTTATGGGAGATATTGATACATTCTTACCTGTTGATGTCTTATGGGAGATGTTGATACATTCTACCTGTTGATGTCTTATGAGATGTTGATACATTCTTACCTGTTGATGTCTTATGGGAGATGATACATTCTTACCTGTTGATGTCTTATGGAGATGTTGATACATTCTTACCTGTTGATGTCTTATGGATGATATTGATACATTCTTACCTGTTGATGTCTTATGGGAGATATTGATACATTCTTACCTGTTGATGTCTTATGGAGATATTGATACATTCTTACCTGTTGATGTCTTATGGAGATATTGATACATTCTTACCTGTTGATGTCTTATGGGAGATGTTGATACATTCTACCTGTTGATGTCTTATGGGAGATGTTGATACATTCTTACCTGTTGATGTCCTTATAGAGATGTTGATACATTCTTACCTGTTGATGTCTTATGGAGATATTGATACATTCTTACCTGTTGATGTCTTATGGGAGATATTGATACATTCTTACCTGTTGATGTCTTATGGGGAGATGTTGATACATTCTTACCTGTTGATGTCTTATGGAATATTGATACATTCTTACCTGTTGATGTCTTATGGGAGATGTTGATACATTCTTACCTGTTGGTGAATCGTTTATGGGAAAAATGGTCTTCCGGGCTGGGTATTTGACCACCATCACCATCACTACCTACCCATCACCATCACTACCACTATCACTGCCATCTACCACTATCATCACCATCACTACCACTACCATCACCATCACTACCATCACCATCACTACCACTACCATCACCATCACTACCACTATCACTGCCATCACTACCACTATCATCACCATCACTACCACTACCATCACCATCACTACCACTATCACTGCCATCACTACCACTATCATCACCATCACTACCACTATCATCACCATCACTACCACTATCACTGCCATCACTACCACTATCATCTACCATCACCACACTATCACTGCCATCACTATATATCATCTCACCATCACTACCACTACCATCACCATCACTACCACTATCACTGCCATCACTACCACTATCATCACCATCACTACCACTACCATCACCATCACTACCACTATCACTGCCATCACTACCACTATCATCACCATCACTACCACTATCATCACCATCACTACCACTATCACTGCCATCACTACCATCACCATCACTACCACTACCATCACTGTCACTACCTCCATAACTATCACTACTTCCACCACCACCACCACCACCACTTATCTGCACACACACACACACACACACACACACACACACACACACACACACACACACACACACACACACACACACACACACACACACTTTACCTCACCCTTGCATAAATCCTTCTCACTTAACAAGATATCTAAGAAAACAACATAAGTGTCTCATTTTAATTGCGTAACTAAAATGGCTTCGTAATTGCGCTGAGACTCTACCGATAATACGATGCTTTTATTTTCCTTTCTGCTGGGAGATATGAGAACGCATCACCCATTCTCACATTTGAGTCTCAGCACCAACAACAAACATGGCGTTAAAACTGCACTAAGACTCTACCGTAACTCGAGGTGTTTTCCCTCTCAAACTCGTAAGTAACTGGTCTTCACGGATAAGTGTGTGAGTAACTGGCTGGCTCTTTCTGGTGAGTGACGGACGAGATAGTGTAGGGAGGGAGAGAGAGAGTGTGTGTGTGTGTGTGTGTGTGTGTGTGTGTGTGTGTGTGTGTTAAGATACATGTCATCGCTTTTACCTGTGTATTTCCCACCTGTACAAAATCTCATTAACCTGACACATAACGATGTCTTTATTACCTAGAGATATATGGACCTTCTCTCGCTCGACCCTTGGAGAAAATGAGAGAAAGGAGAGAGTTAATGGGATGTGAGAGACCTATTTAGGGGGTCCTGAGGGGAGGGAAGGGAAAGGGAGGGGGTCTGTAGGTCTAAGGGAAAGTAATGGGGGAAGGTGAGGGAGACTTAGGTGATTAATCTCTCTCTCTCTCTCTCTCTCTCTCTCTCTCTCTCTCTCTCTCTCTCTCTCTCTCTCTCCTCTCTCTCTCTCAGCTCCACCTCCCCCAGGCCACCTCCTAACTTCTACACCACTAGCAGCCGTCCCTCATTGCTAGTAGTTCACATTATGTACTACTCAGAGGGGCAGGAGTAAAAGGCTATCACGCTGGTTTTGCTAAAATGATAACGGAGATTTGATTATTATTAAATATTTGTCTTTAATAAAGAGGTGAAATTTGCAGTGGTAGAAGAAGAACTCTACACCTTCGGATGTAGCTAAGCTTTACACACACACAAATATAAACACCTAACTCGATCATACCTTCCCGCCTTATAGAAATGTCCTGGTTACCTGGTGTTGTGAGCGAGTACAGTGCAACAGGTATGGAGACGGCACACGGGACGAGTTCTTTAGACTGCCTTAAAGCTTAGACCAAGAACCGTAAGAGTGTTCTGGTTTTTATATCGAATATCTTAGATTGTTAAGAGCTTATGGTTTTGTGATGATGATGATGATGATGATGATGATGATGATGATGACGACGATGAAGATGATGATGATGATGATGATGATGATGGTGATGATGATGATGATATAAAAGTAATACATAATAAAACTTGAATCTTCATAAATCATTGTTGTCATTGGCTGGTCTACACTGTTTAGTGCCGGCCGACTGACTGAACCACTTCCTGCTGTCTAGTGAACCTTATTTCCCGACTCCGAAAACTCTGAACCTTCCCTATACTGTGATTTGAACCTTTCTTATAATGATTTGAACCTTAAACTGCGATTTGAACCTTATTTGTATCGTGGTTTAAATCTTCTCGCTATTCAGTAAAACCCAAATTTAAACCTTTTCTTACTGAGACTTGACGCATTTCTCACCTACTGGAATTTGAACCTCTTATGTATGGTGATTTGAACCTCCTGCTCGTTGACATTAAACCTTTTCCCTCCGTCCCTTACAACTTGAACCTTTTCCCCGGCACCAGGAATGTAAAAATAGCCTTAATGCCTCGTTTTGAACCTGGTAAAATTTGAACCTGCTTCGTTAAGATGGTGTTTGAGTCTTGAGTCCTGTATGTCCACGTCATATTGAACCTCTTGGTCATCGAATTGAACCTTAAGAGTGTGTGTGTGTGTGTGTGTGTGTGTGTGTGTGTGTGTGTGTGTGTGTGTCATGTACAGTATGTCCCAGATTAACACCTGTTGTGTAGTCTATGATTGCTTCCTTCTCTCCCTCCTTCTCTCTCTTCCTCCAACTCCTTCCATTTTCTCCCTCCTTCAAGCACACTTTCCTTCCTTCTTCGTCCACCAAGCCCAGTCTTTCTCTCTCTCTCTCTCTCTCTCTCTCTCTCTCTCTCTCTCTCTCTCTCTCTCTCTCTCTCTCTCTCTCTCCACGCAATATCAGTAAATCTATTTGTTGCCTCCTCATGTGTACAGGTGTTTACAGATGTCTGATGGTGCCTACACACGTTTATATGAGTGATCAATGCAGGTGTATGTTGAAACAGGATACACCTTTTTGAACACCTGTCAACACCCATTTAACTAATCTTAACCTATTTCAACACCTGTCAGCACCTAGTTAACACCTGTGATTAAAGCTGTTTTAACAAATGCGTAAAACACCTGTGCTTAACATCTGTCATATACCTTCTAATTATCCTTATGGGTGTGGGTGACTGTCATGACTGGTTTAATTCGATGATGACTGTTTCCGTGTGACTGTCACTTGAGAAAGACTGTCTATAGCGTTAGGGGGGGGGTGAAAGTTGTTTGTTTGTCAGTTTGTTTGTTTAATTGTCTGTTTGTTTGTTTTTTTTGGGGGGTGTTTGGTATGCTGGTTGTATTATGTCTTGGAATAATTGGGTTGTTAGTAGTGATGGTTGAGGAAAGGTGGGGAGGGTGGAGGAAAGAAGAGGTGGACAGACGAAATAAAGAAAAGGAGAAGGAAGGGAGTAAGGAGGAAGAAAGATGAGAGACGAGGTGAAGACGATGGAGGAGGAAGAAGGAAGAGGTAACAAGGAGGGGGAGGAGGAGGAGATGGATGTCAAAAGGGAGAGAATATAGAAAATGGTGGGAGGGAAGAAGGGAACTAACTGAACAAAACGGGAAGAAATATGGTAGTTGTCATGGAAGCCAGGTGATCTATAATAGCTGTCATGGTAGTGGTGGTCGAGTTGGTCAAGAGGGAGGGAGGGAGGGAGGGAAGCGGTCACCAGTGAAAGATTTTTTTTCCAGTGTTGAGTGAAAGTGCTCGTCACTGGTCGGTCTTCTGACCACTTTGTCCTCTCTAGTAGCTGACGGAAAATCTTTAATTGTCAACATATTTATTTTGGTAGATGTTTACGGTCACCAGTGTAAACAAAATACTGTTTGTTGTCGTCCTCAATTACTCTTTTACACGCACACACACACACACACACACACACACACACACACACACACACACACACACTGGTCAGTCGAGAAAAAAAATAGATATTAAATGTTTATTATATAACCTGGGCATTGTTTAAGACACGTGTCTCTACCTATAACTTGACGCCAAGTTACATAACGTGTTGTTGAGATCATTAAAGAGTCCAATTATGTTATATTTTGTAAGTTACTCACCCATTATGATACTAATTATTATGTATGTATGGTCAGTTACTTAACAGCAGCATAACAGTAATATCATTTATCTCACCTGTCACCCGTACTAACGTGATGTTCCTTCTCCCTCAGCAGTCTGGTGTCACCGGCGGGGAGGAGACAGAGGTCAACCTTGCCACCTGCATCCCGCTACCTGAGGACACCACAGACGGCCCCCCAAGCCTCACTGCCTTCAAGGGCGAGCTCGACTCAGCCGTCTCCCAGTACATCTCTCAGGTTAAAGATCTCGGTTACAAGGAGGAGACACCCAAGGATCAGAAGCTTCTTGCTGTCAAGTTCCAGCTTGATCCTGACGACATAAAGCCCAAGAGCGAGGAGGAGGAGGAGGAGGAAGACGAGTTTGAGGAAGAGAAACCTAAGATTAAGGTTATCTCCAAGGAAGACAAGTGCGAGCAGACAGAGTTGGAGGTGGAGGTGACGTCTGTAGACAATCCTCTGTATCTTACACTAAGTGAGTGTTCCTCTGGTCTCCTGCCCTACAGTGAACAAGACCTGCCTCAGCATCACCACTATGAGAATGGTCAAGTTGGCCGAGAAGACGAACACATATACGAGAACGTAGATAACTCAACGGGTGGAGAGGAAGAAGAAGACGAGGAGGAGCACCTGTATGATACCTTACCAAGACGTAAGCCAGACTTGCCGCCTAAGCCAGATTTCTTGTCCCAGCTTGCAGCGAGGCAGAGTGAACCAGTCAAACGTGCCTGGAACCCCTTCGTGAGCCTGAGCGTCGACACAGGGGATCCAACACCCCCTCTGAGCACTGCCTCGTCCCTCTCGTCGCCAGACTCTCACCTCACCAACGAGCACTCTGAAGTGAGTCCCCAGAAGGAAGCCGAGAACACCACTACCAACCCGTTCTTGGACACCAAACCCACAGAGACCAGTGAACAGACGCTCATCCTCGACGGCTCCGAGACATCGGATTTGGGTTCGTCTGGAGGAGAATATGACGTAGGATCTGTTGAGGACTGGCCACTACCGCCCACACCCCCGCCAGGAGAGGAGGAGGTTACTGTACAGGACGACCCACTCCCCCCTCCGCCACCTGAACTTGCTCTGCAGCAACTTGAAGAAGAAGTGTTCCGTGAAGAGCAGGAGGAAAGGAAAGTTGCCCTTCAGAAAGAGAAAGAGTCCATAGCACGCGAATACGGCGCTAAGACCAAAGACCTCGACGAAGCACAACAAGTTGAAGCCGTCAACACAACTCTCACTTCTTTGGAGGAGAAATTCACGAAACCGGACACCCAGACGCCGCCTCAAGAACCAGAGCCCAAGAAGGAGCCCAAAATAATCCAGATTGATGAGGACGACAGCGACGAGTTCGACACACCAGCCATCAGACACTCTGTGATCATTGAACTGAAGGACTCTTGTCCAAATGTTCCACAGAGCCTAAGGCCCTCAGAGATCAGACGGAAGGAGAGTCTTAAACGCAGTGAGAGTGTCAAACACACGAGCGTCCTGAGGCGGACTAACAGCTACAATAAAGTCAACAGACGGGAATCATTGTGTAAGGTGTTCCCGAGCATCACCAGTGAGTTCAAGAAGTCAGAAAATGGTGAAAGTGTTTCTGTCGGAGTGACATCACCAAAGAGAGAGGAACAGAGTTTTACTTTCCTGGACTCCGGTGCCAGTAAAGAGAAGCAATTCATCGAAATATCTGACGACGGCTCCTGGGAGACCAAACTCTCGAGCATGGACTCTCTGACCAACAACCACAACAACAAGCAGGATATTGATCCTTTCACAGGTAACCCCATCATGGCGCCTCCCCTCAGCCCCGTCGCCATCGCCGCCCCGCCCACAGAGTTCCAAACTGACGACGGGATGGACGGTGTTTACTGCGCCAATGTCATCAACACTCACTCGGGTCCTTCATCCCTTGCCAGCACCTTCGCCGATTCCTTAGGCGCCGGAGACGTCAATTCGCCGGAAACCCCATCATTTATGACGGCACCTGAAACAATCCTTGAAGAGCCGCCTTCCTTCTTCCAAGATCCCGCCGTGATGGACCTGGACGAGAAGGCTGCCGACAGTGCACAGACAAATCCAGCTGAGGACATGGAAGTCAGATCCCCGGTACACAAGAATCTAGGAGTTGCCATCATGGAGGGCTATGAACAAGACCTGCAGAAGAAGAAGGACAGTATGAACCTCCCCGAACATTCCCTCCTGGAGTTCGGTGACACAGTTCGAGACTTGGAGCAGCAGCGAAGGTCTGTGATTAAACAGATGACAGTGAAAGCCAAGAGGAAGGACACTTGGATCAAGACTTTCAACATGCACGCTCACGGTAACGGAGACAACATTCCCGTCGCTCCTTCACGGGCCAGGAGGAAAAACTCTCCCCAGAGGCCTGAGACAGTCACCAGGCAGGACATCTCTGACTTACCCGTGAATGGATTTGCCAAGAAGTCAGAACCGGGAATTGTGAAATTGCAAAAGAGTAGCCTAGAAGCCTCACCCTCACAGAACATGTCACCAAAGAGTACCAAGACTCCTGGTAAGGTGGAGCCAGTACCTCCTCCAAAATCGTCACGCAAGAACAAGATGACGGTAGAGCCAGTCGTCATAGCGCCCGTGAAGATTGACAACAGCCAGACCGTCCCTGAGGAGAGTGTCATCTCGCCTAAGAACACCGAGATTCTGGCAGCTCTCTTCTCGTCTCCTGTCAAAACGGCCCAAAACATCGAGGAACACAAGGTTTCCCCTCAGAGCTCCCCAAAGAAGATGACCAACAGCGTCAAACCTGAAACAGACGCCAAAGTAACCCACGACATCCCTGCAGTAGAGCCTGCTGGGGACTCCGCCGTCGTGGACCAACTTGTGTCTTTTGCCGACTCCCCCGTGAAGCGTCCAGCAGCACCAGCACCTCCAGTCACCAGTACCAAACCTGAAGACTTCCTAGTGATGTCCCTGGAATCTACACCAGTCTTCACCGCCGCCACACCTGTCCTCTCCCCTGTAAAGCCCAGCGAGGAGTCTTTTACCCCTACTGGTACCACCCAGGAGGAGAGATAAGAAAGAAGGAGAGCGGGGGAGAAAGAACGCGATGGTGAGGGAGAAGAATGAGATCAATCTGGCTCACAATGCTATAGCTATGCTTCTCAGCCCCGAGAAGGACGGGGAGAAGAAGAAAGAAACAAAGGAAGAGAAGGCGGAAGAAAGCGGAGTCGAGGCGTCGGTCGAGGAAGGAAGAACAGAGGCCAGCGTGACCACAGAGGGAGAGACTGAACTGGACGAAGGTAAGGGGAGAGGCCAGTCTGTGTTACGTAGATGGTGGAGGGCTAGATGGTACTACACTATAAGACGATAGATAAAGTAGAGATGGACCTCCTACTTGAGATAGACAGAAGAGATAGACAGCTAAATCTTCCCCACTCACTCACTCACCTGAGACGTGTGTGTGTGTGACTGTATGTGTGTGTGTGTGTGTGTGTGTGTGTGTGTGTGTGTGTGTGTGTGTGTGTGTATGATATTATTGTGTGTGTGTTAGGATGCGAGAAAGCAGTTTGTCACGGTTAGTCACAGAGTAATTTTGTGTACCTGGTTGTTTTAGCCCAAGTCATTGTGTGCTATATAGTGAGTGAGTGAGTGAATGAGTGAGTGAGTAAGCGAGTCTGCGAGTGAGTGAGTAGGGTGGGAAAAAATATCACCACAGTCTGAACGTGGTAATTGTTAAGTGTGTGAGGCCGTAGCTTGTTGTTGTCTATCATGATGGAGGTGGAAGTGGTGGTGGTAGTGGTGGTGGTAGTGGTGGTGATAGTGGTGGTGGTAGGTGGTGGTGGTAGTGGTGTTGGTGTCTGGTGGTGGTAGGTGTGTGGTAGTGGTGTTGGTGGTGTGGTGTTGGTGGTGTGGTGGTAGTGGTGTTGGTAGGTGGTGGTAGTGGAGGTGTAGGAGGTGGTGTGGTGGTGATAGTGGTGGTGATAGTGGAGTGGTAGTAGTTGTTTTATATCCAGCGTTATGTCGTAAACACACCTACACACACACACACACACACACACCCATCTAACTCCTCCTCCGTCGAAGTTATTAAAGCTATCCATTCTTATCTCCACAGTGTATTTAGTCCTTTATAGTTACAAATAATATGGAATCATTATATTTATGTGTAGTAACTTAGTGTTTTATGATGACCTGGTGATTAAGATGTGCAATGAGTTTGAGATGAATGCAGTTGGTTTTCAAGATGGCTACTCCTCTCCTCCTCCCTCCTCTCTCCTCCCACCATCCGCATCGTTCCACCACACCTCTCCTCCCCAACACCACACGTCCTCCCACACCCACCGCTCCCCACCACCACCACCAACCCACACCTCCCAACACCACACCTCCCCCCCACACCACACCACACCCACACCTCCCAACACCACACCTCCTCCCCACACCACACCTCCCCACACCACACCTCCTCCCCACACCACACACCCACCACCCCCCCCACCCACCCTCCCCACCACACCCCCACACCCCCTCCCCACACCCCCCCCACCACACCCCACCTCCCCCACCACACCCCCTCCCCACACCCACACCTCCCCACACCACACGTCCTCCCCACCACACCTCCTCCCCACACCACCCCTCCCCAACACCACACCTCCCCCCACACCACACCTCCTCCCCACACCACACGTCCTCCCCACACCACCACCCCCCCACACCCACACCTCCCCCACCCACACCTCCACAACATCACCACCTGAAGAAGGAAAGTTGAAGATGGACGACATGAACACCTCCCGCGCCATATGTCTGGTTCCCTCCACCCACACACACACACACACACACACACACACACACACACACACACACACACACACACACACACACACACACACACACACACACACCACACACACACACTCACACACACACACACACACGATGATTTACCATATGTAGTTTTCCATGTTGCTGTCACGAGTTGATTTATTGTGAAGGCCGTAGTGTGTGTGTGTGTGTGTGTGTGTGTGTGTGTGGTTGGTCACTTTTCCTCGTGTATTTTTAGGGGTTTTGTGTTCCTTCTTGGAGAGCTGTATAGTGTTTGAAGATTAACAGGGACACGATGACTACCTTACCTTACCTTACCTTACCTTACCTTACCAAGCACAGCCCTCAAAACCTCATAAGTAATCCAGTTAGAAGATAAAAATCAGTGAAATAAAACAAATCTTCTTCTTCTTCTTCTTCTTCTTCTTCTTCTTCTTCTTCTTCTTCTTCTTCTTCTTCTTCTTCTTCTTCTTCTTCTTCTTCTTCTTCTTCTTCTTCTTCTTCTTCTTCTTCTTCTATTTATTCTTCTTCTTCTTCTTCTTCTTCTTCTTCTTCTTCTTCTTCCTTCTTCTTCTTTAATAACTTCTTCTTTTTAACTTCTTCTTCTTCTTTAATAACTTCTTCTTCTTCTTCTTCTTCTTCAACTTCTTCTAACTAACTTCTTCTTCTTCTTCTTCTTCTTCTTCTTCTTCTTCTTCTTCCTTCTTCTTCTTCTTCTTCTTCTTCTTCAACTTCTTCAACCTTCAATACAACTATTTCTTCTTCCTTTAACTGACTATTTTCTTTAGCTTCTTATTATTTATTATTTCAGCTAGCTATTTCTTCTTCAACTATTTATTTTGTTCCTTCTTCTTCTTCTTCTTCTTCTTCTTCTTCTTCTTCTTCTTCTTCTTCTTCTTCTTCTTCTTCTTCTTCTTCTTCTTCTTCTTCTTCTTCTTCTTCTTCTTCTTCTTCTTCTTCTTCTTCTTCTTCTTCTTCTTCTTCTTCTTCTTCTTCTTCTTCTTCTTCTTCTTCTTCTTCTTCCTTCTTCTTCTTCTTCTTCTTCTTCTTCTTCCTTCTTCTTCTTCTTCTTCTTCTTCTTCTTCTTCTTCTTCTTCTTCTTCTTCTTCTTCTTCTTCTTCTTCTTCTTCTTCTTCCTTTCATTTTGTCACTTCCTCCTTATTGCCGTTTTTTCCTGTTAGAATTTCTCAAGTCCATTATTTGTTTTTCTTGTCGACTTTCCCCTCCCATTTGTTTCCTTTTGGCGTGGGAAACAACAACAACAACAACAACAACATCATCAGTGTCACCCCTCCTCTTCATCTTCCTCCTCCTTCAGCTCCTCTTCCTCTTCCATCTCTTCCTTCTATAGCTCCTCCTCCTCCTCTTCCTCACCCCGATGGAAGTGTACGTCGCTACAGGAGCACAGGGAGGGAGGAGGGAGAGAGGGTAGGAGAAGGGGAGTGAGGGAGAGACGGAGGGAAGCAAGAAAGGGGGGAAGGAAAGGATAGTGGGGGAGGGATAGGAATAAAGGGATGAGGATGATGCAGAGTGGAAATGAGTTAGACAGGGAGAGAGTTAGGTAGGCCAATATCCGGGTAGACAGGCAAACATACAGTGAAATTACCTCCTACAAGCACCCCCTATCCTCCCTCCCCACTCCCCACGCCAAATTTATCCACCCTAACCTTTTACATCAGAGTGTATACCCCATGTCAAGCACACCTGTGGCAGTATTTACTAACTGCTCATCATAATTGAAGACCTCGACCCCCTTTCCCCTCCGCCCCCAGGTAACGTTATTACCAGAAAAATGAAAATTTTTCTTGGGAATGTCTTATACAAGTGAAATTTTCTCGTAAGATCTGAGGGGAAAGGTGAAAATTTTATCAGGATCACGTGAAGTTTAGACACCCTAGCTTATTTCACCTGATGATTAAACACCCTAACCTAACCTAACCTAACCTAACCTAACCTAACCCCACAGGTAGGTTTTGGGTGTTTAATTATCAGGTGAAATAAGCTAGGGTGTCTAATTTTCACGTGAGTCCCACCTTTCCCTAAATTCTTCCGAGGAAAATTTGCTTTCATGTAAGAATTTTGGAAAAAAAATTTAAAATTGCTCGTAAGAAATGAAGATAAAGGTGAAAGTTTCTCGTAAGAACCTCGTATAACGGTAAACAAAAAAACCCCGTAAGATCGTCATGTATAGAACAGGTAGGTGGAAAGAGGAGAGAGAATTAAGGTCAGGTGAGGTAATGGAACATCTTACCTTTGTTATTGTGTCTTATAAAAGTGAAAGTTCCTAATTTTCGACCACTTAGGCCCTGAATTTTCAAAGGATCGTTAGGTAAACTTTCCCCCTTAATTAGAGTTATGTGAACGGCTCCAATTATCTTACTTAAGAGATATGGCACATAACAAAAGTGATGGTCGTTACATTGCGTCGTAACTCTACCATAACGAGATACAATAGGTTCTCTTGTTTACTTAGAAGGGAACAACAACACCTTAAGAATGTTTGTGATTATGGAGTTTCTGTAGCTCCGTGGTTCAGTAACTCACCATTAGGACTGGACTTTCGTTTATAAAATCTCACGTAATTGCAATAGTTTAAAACCACAGTAATGAAAAAAAATAAAATATTGTTGTTATATTGTTACAAATGGTATGATATATTTATTATAGCGCCCGAGTTTGCAAGTTATGTTATGGTAAGAGAGAGTTTAATGTCCACACGAACGGAGGTGCCTGATGACGTCATTGTTGTGGTCGCTTATTCACCATGACACCGGAAATACTGATGAGTCTACTGTAGATTTATTTCAACCTGAGGAAAACAATATATATCACTATAGTAATAATTTTTAATGGTGATAGTCAAATAGGTAATTTTTTTTAGATGTTGGTAAGAATATTTTGATGTGGCCGTGAGGATGAAGAATGTATTTGAAAGGTTTTAAGGGAACACACACACACACACACTGGAATATATCGTAATCTAGCATTCAGAAGATTCTAAATTACACCACCATTACCCTTTTCTATTACATCCATTATTCCTCATCACCCACTTACCGTTCCCCATCACCCACCTATCATCCCCCATCACCCACCCATCATGACCCCTTCCCATCACCTACTCATTACCCCATCACCTTATATTATTCCCTTCCTTTTTACTCAGCGGTGGTGATGGTAGTAGTGAGGTCATTGTGGTAATGGAAGTAGTAATGGTGGTATAGGTAGTAATAGTGGTGATGGTAGTA